CAGATTTGAAGGAACCAGTGATGTCAAACAATCAAAGCTGCAAATGGTTCTGTCAGAATTCGAATCACTCAGAATGATTGAAGACGAAACCATTTCGACCTTCCACAGTAGGGTTCAGAACTTGATGAATCGAGCCTCAATTCTTGGGGAACCATTCACTGATGAGAGAGTGGTCAAAAATATTCTTAGATCTTTACCTAAACGCTTTCGAATGAAAGTAACTGCTATTCAGGAACACACTGGTTGGGAAAAGAAGACTGTTGGAGAACTCATGGGAAGCTTACACACATACGAACTGGAAGTTCTTGCTGATGATGATATTGGAAGCAATAGGAAAGGAAAGTCGGTAGCCTTTGTGGCTGAGGCTGATCGAGAATCTGACACAGACGACATAGATGATGAAACCTTAGCTCTTCTAACCAAAAACTTCAAGAAAATTTTAAAAGGTTTCAACAGAAAGGGTCAAGGTCAGCCTACCAGGACACAATACAAAGGCAACAACTCCTCATATCAAAAGGTAGAAACAGCACATTTCTCACAAAACAATCAATCTCAGACTGGGCGATCAAGACAAAACAGAAACAGTTCCACAGACACAGGAAAACCCTTCAATCGGTCAGTGCAATGTAGGGAATGTCAAGGATACGGTCACATACAGGCTGAATGTGCAACATATCTTAAAAGGAAAAAGGCTATGTCTGTAGCTACTCTTAGTGATGATAAGGAGGAAACTTCAAATGATCAATCAGATGATAATTTAGGAAACTTTGTAGCCTTCTTTACTGCTACAGATCTTCAGTCAGACAGAGATCAATCTGATGGAGAATCATACATATCAACTGATGATTTTGAAGAGAGACATACTCAACTTGAGACAGAATTTGCAAAACTTGTTGCTAGCTGGGAACAACTTTTGAAAGTGAATAAGAATCTGAATGATGAGCTGAAGCAAAGAGATGATCTTCTAAAGAAATTGAATGCAGAACTGGTCATAAAAGAAGATCTCATCACTCAGATACGATCCAGAGAAGGAAAACTAATCAAGGAATTGGAGAGCTTGAAGAAAAATATCCAGATGATGGACACCACATCTACCTTAGATAAGATTCTACACTCTGGCAGAAATCCTAATAATAAAAAGGGTCTGGGATTTGAACAAGGAGAATCTTCGAATAACGCACCAAAGTTCATCAAGGAGGGAATGTCTAAGACCACTGCTGATCACAGGTATGAACAAAGACAGTCATCTCAGTCAGTACAAAACAAGGGAAGGAGGTACGATCAGAATACTGATACTAACCTGGCCAAATCAACTCATCAATCTCATTATTCGAGGTTCAAAAATAAGATTGTCAAAGTTAAATATTACACTCCCATTTGTCACTACTGTCAAACAAAAGGTCATACTCGACCTGAGTGTTATTTTTTCTACAGAGATCAAAGGAAGGAAAAATATCAGAATAAGACTATTACACCATTCACTAGACAGGTTTGGGTCAGAAAGACAGAAGTTATCTGCTACCCCACCATTGTCCTGACTGCATCTACAACTGATGCTAGATGGTATTTCGATAGTGGATGTTCCAGACATATGACTGGAAATATTAAGTGTCTGATGGCTGTTCAATCTAGCAGTGGAGCTGTAACATATGGAGATGGACAAAAAGGTAAAATCGTGGGAAAAGGTATCCTAAATGTACCAGGCTTACCTCAATTAGAAGAAGTCCTGCTAGTCACTGGGTTGAAAGCGAATCTAATTAGCATCAGTCAGTTGTGTGATCAAAATTGGAATGTGTGCTTCGATCGTAACTGCTGCAGAGTTAGTGACAAAGCAAATCAACTTGTCATGGAAGGAACTCGGTCCTCAGACAATTGTTATGTTTTGACAAATGAAACTTCTTGTCATCTATCCAAGTTTGATGAATCAAAACTCTGGCATAGACGACTGGGTCACATAAACTTCAGAGATATGGATAAGCTGATAAAACTGGAAGCAGTAAAAGGTGTACCTAAGATCAGAATTGATCCAGAAAAAATCTGTGGCTCATGTGCAATTGGGAAACAAATCAGAACTCCAACAGCAAAGCAGTAAGAGGTATCACCACTGAGAAATGCCTAGATCTTGTCCATATAGACCTTATGGGGCCAACACAGACTGAAAGTATTGGGGGAAAGAAATACATATTTGTGTGTATGGACGACTTCTCTCGATACAGCTGGGTATACTTTCTGAGAGAAAAAACAGAAGCCTTCAAGGCCTTTAAGACTCTGTGCATAAGAGTTCAGAAGGAAAAGGATGAGTCCATTATAAAAGTTCAGAGATTGAGGAGTGATCATGTAAAGGAATTTGAGAACTCACTATATTCAGACTTCTGCTCCGAGCATGGTATATCACATGAGTTCTCAGCTCCTAGAACTGCTCAACAGAATGAAGTAGTGGAAAGAAAGAATCGAACTTTACAGGAAATGGCTAGAGTCATGCTACATGCCTCACATCTGCCACAACGCTTCTGGGCTGAAGCAGTTCACACAGCGTGCCATACTATAAATAGGGTCTATCATAGACCAGGAACAACGAAAACTCCTTATGAGATCTGGAAGGGAAAGAAGCCAAATCTGAAATATTTTCACGTGTTTGGGACAAAGTGTTATGTGCTAGCTGATAGAGAACAAAGAGGGAAGTTCGAACCCAAGAGTGATGAGAGCATCTTCCTTGGCTACTCTCCGAACAGTCGTGCCTACAGAGTCTACAACAAGAGGACTCAGTCTGTGATGGAGTCAGTGAACGTGGTTATCGATGACAACCCAGAAGAATCAGTAGACTCAGCAGTGATAGAGTCTTCTCTAAGTGATCCAGATGCGAGTAATAACAACAGTCAACTCAAACCTCAAGATTCGTCAGATAGATCTCATGAATGTTGTTGGTAAAGACAAGCCCACCAGAACTCAGAAAAACCATCAATCAGATAACATTATAGGAGATCCATCAGATGGGATGAAGACCAAAAGAAGAATAAGAAATAATCTGACAGAAATATCTGGGTCTGCTTGCTATACCTCAAAGATAGAACCCAGAAAAGCAGACTATGACGAGACTTTTGCTCCTGTAGCTAGACTCGAGCCAATCAGAATCTTGCTGGCTGTCGCATGCATTTTGGGATTTACATTATATCAGATGGATGTCAAGACAGCATTTCTGAATGGGTATCTCCATGAAGATATCTATGTGGCTCAACCTAAGGGTTTTGAAGATCCAGAACACCCTACTTATGTCTATAAGCTTCGAAAAGCTCTCTACGGTCTTAAACAAGCCCCACGGGCATGGTATGAACGTCTGACACAATATTTGCTCCAGCATGGGTATAAACGCGGAAGTGTTGACAAAACTCTGTTTGTAAAAACTACTTGAAGTCATGTAACCATAGCTCAAATCTATGTTGATGACATTGTGTTTGGATCAACCCTGCAGAAATACACTGATGAGTTGGTAAAAGTGATGGAGGAAGAGTTTGAAATGTCCATGGTTGGTCAACTGACATACTTCCTCGGTCTACAGGTCAAGCAATGTTCAGAATGATACTTTATTTCGCAAGAGAAGTATGCTAAGAATCTTGTCAAAATGTTTGATCTGGAATCATGTAAATCTTCCACAACACCTATCTCCACCTCTACAAAAGTATCGAAAGATGAAACTGGTGTATTAGTGGATAACACAGTCTATCGTAGCTTGATAGGCAGTCTACTGTATCTAACAGCCAGTCGACTAGACATAATGTTCAGTGTAGGAATCTGTGCAAGGTATCAATCTGATCCAAAGGAATCTCATCTGATAGCTGCAAAACGCATTATGAAGTACGTTAAAGGAACGATACAGTATGGACTCTGGTATTCCAAGGACAGTGAACTGAATCTGGTTGCATACTGTCATGCTGATTGGGCAGGAAATATTGATGATCGGAAAAGTACTTCTGGAGGATGTTTCTTCGTTGGTAAAAACTTAGTATCATGGCTAAGCAATAAACAGAATTCAATCTCTCTAAGCACTGCAGAGGCAGAATACATAGCTGCAGGTGGTTGCTGTACTCAGTTGGTATGGATGAAACAGATGTTTCTGGATTATGGTCTTACTCAAGGAACAATGACACTCTTCTGTGATAATGTCAGTGCTATTAACATCTCCAAGAATCCTGTTCAACATTCCAGAATGAAGCATATTGACATCAGGCATCTTTACATCAGAGACCTGGTTGAATCCAAGGAAACTGAATTGGAATACATTCAGACTGACAAACAACTGGCGGACATTCTGACTAAGCCATTGGATGCTAATCGTTTTGAAATTCTCAGATCTGCTCTGGGAATTTGCAGAATTAACTGATTAAAGCAGTTGGTCCATCAGAGAGGAGTTGGTGTATACGGGTTAGTGTTATGATTTGACTTTCCTTAAAGACTCCTCTTTATTTATGTTAAGAAGATTATTTAACATTATGCTTCTCAAAAGATATCTTAAAAGATCTTAATTTCTTTTCGAATCTCAAATTTCCTTGGGTTCCGTTTCCTTCTTAAAAAGGAGCTGTACCGTTGTGTCAATCAATCGCATCTGCATGATATTTGACAAGCCGCATTAATTAGGGTTCATCACCCTTAAGCCTATTTGATACCGGGTCAAGAAGAAAAACACATCTTCGATCATCACAGCTCTCAACTTTCTATCTCTCTTGCATATTTGCCTTCAGTGATCTGCTCTTCTCTTCGCACATAATCTTCAATGGCGGACCCTGTAAGAAACATCATTATCGAACTTGGAAGCAAGAAACACTCTCCGGAGGTGTCACTTAAGCACATTCATACGCTGCTACAGTTTGCTATGAAGAAGAAGCTCAAACTTGATCCTCTGCTTCGCGACGAGATTTTAGTAACTGTGATGACCTATTACCCAGAGTTTTATGCAGAATGATCTGAAGATGATGCGATTGAACTGCTTATGATGGTTTCTGAAGCCTGTGATGATGTTTCTCCAGTATATATTCCAGAACCCTTGGATGGAAATCGGGTCGGGGCATTCCTTCAATACTTTGCACATCGAGCCCTAGAATTGGTTGAGGCCTCTCGACGGCAAGCGGAGGCGCAACCTCTGTATCTCGCAGCTGCTCAAAAAGAGGCAAAACACAGACAGGAGATCCTCCGAAACAGGTCAAACTATTCTGAAACTCCTATTGAAATTTCACCAGATAAACCTGATGTTTCTGCTACCCCATCTTGTGTGCCTGTTATTTCTGAAAATTTAACTGCTTTGGATTCCGAGAAGCCTCTTGTGAATATTGATTCTTTATCTCTGCCTCTGAGTGAATCTGTTGGTATGAAAACTGATGTCTTGCATGTGTCTGATGAGAAAGCAAAGTCCTCTGATGAGCTAAATCCAATGAGTTTAGTCATTTACTCTTCTGATAATATTGCTCTGCCTCCTGCTGAGAATGTTGATGACTCTAAAGAAACTTGCTCTGCTGTTGATACTCTTGTTTTACCTGTTACTGTTGAAACTGTTGATTTATCAAGCCCCCACAAGTCTGAGAAAACAGGTGGAATTCCTGTTTACACTGCAACATCTTTAGGAGAGAGTCTGGAACATGTGCGACACTTTGCTGGGCTACCATCTGATTCCATCCCTCAACCATATCGAGTGATTCATCCTTCCGAATCGTCCAGTGAAGATGATAAAATACTGGCTGAAGTGTATGGATCTCAAGCACTTCAATATGATGTTCCAACTGTTGAGGCAACTGCTCATCCTGACTCCACGAATTTCGAAATTCGAGAGATTTCGAATATTTTTGGAAGCTCGTCTGCAAATGTTTCTGATTCTAGCCACTCTGTGACTCCGGTTCAGTCCCCAACCAATGAAACAAGACGGTCAAAAAGGAAGAATGTCCCAGTAAAGGTTGTTGTTTAGACCGGTGATGATAATGCTGATGTAGATCAGCCTGAGAAGAAGAGAAAGTCGAGTGAGACTGTTAAGCCTGAAGGAAACCCACCTGTTCAACAAATGTTCAAGACTCTGCGATCGTCTGTTAAGCAAAAAGGTTCTACTGCTGTTCAAGCTACCTCTGTACCAGCCCCTTTTGTCAGAAAAGGGAAGCCATCCACACGATCAAGAGGTCGAAGTAAAACCCCTGAGGTCCCACCTGTAGAAGAAACTGACCCATCTGTTTACCGGCCTCAGTTTGTATCTCCTGCTGCACAGACCAAATGGGCCACTATGGTTAGAAGGGATCTTATTGTTCAAAGATCGGTGGACGAGAACCAGCTGAACTCCGTTTGTGACATTCTGCCCTTGCTGAATGAAGTCGGATTGTTGAAAACTGTCACAGACATCTGCCCTTACTCTAAGCTGCTCACATATGAATTGTATTGCAATCTCAATGATGAGATTGATGTTCTCACAGGGCCACGACCGATGCAGATCTTTATCAGAGGAAGGTGGTATGTTTTTGGGCCGGATATGATTAATGAATACTATGGCTTGCCAGCGGTTCAAGAAGAAGCTGTTACTGACTGGGACTTAGTTGCCAGAACTCTGACTGGTGGGCAGACAGAATCATGGCCTACGGGTGACAAGGACTATCTGCAAAGCTCCCATCTCATGTCCAGATATGTGATTTTACACCGCCTAGCTCTTCACAACTGGCTCCCATCAGCCCATTTTCACACAGTTGGCAAGCTTCTGGCTAGGTTCTTATTTCGAATTGGAACAAAGATGCAACTTGATCTGGGCAAATGGATTTACTATCACATCCTCACCCTGATTCATCCACGCGAACAGAAGGTAAGACTACCCTTTCCAAATCTGATTTTTGGCATCCTTACCACTCAGGGCGTTGAGCCTATGCCCAGTGAAGTGATCAGCCCAACGTTGCTTTATACTGTTGATAAACGTCTTCTGTCTGGAGATCACATTCGAGATGTTGTTCCTGTGACTGCCCCATCCAATCCTGAACCAGATGCTGTGCCTGATGACTCTCCTCATGCTAAGGATGTTCAGCTTTCCATTCAGCTGAAGGCAAGAGTTGCTGATCTTGAGACGGTGCACAGCATTATTACAAAGCAACTGACAGGGGCCCGTACTGAGCTAGCTACTGTTCTTCTTCGTTTGAGCCTGACTGAAGCTGCTGCTACTACTGCTGATCCTGTGAAGTCTGACAGTGACTCTCCCTCCAATGCTTGATCTTTGGCTACCATTGGAAAAAAGGGGGAGTAGTATGAACTCAGGGGGAGTTTATTTTTGTTTTTGTTTGAGTCCCTTCTGGCCCTAGCTGGGCGTTATGTTTTTTGATTCTAAACTGTTTTGGATCCTATGTTTCTATTTTTATTATGTAATCAGTTCGGACATATGGTGTAACACCCCGTGTTACGACCTTCAATCCCGGATTAATCATTTAATTAATCCCGTTAATAATAATTAAATATGATTTAATTCGGTTAGGTTTCCCTTTAATTAATTAATGAGGTCCACCATGAACCGTGGACCCTTGCCTAAAGGAGAGTCTTAGGCCTATTAGGAATAAAGGAAGTAGGCCTTTTACTATTCAGATTATGATTAGGATTCTCTTTAAGTAATTAATATGGTCCACTATGGACCATGGACCCTTATACCTAAAACAAGTCCTTAGTCCTATAAGGAATAGAATTAGTAAACCCATACCATTTAGGCCCTAATTAGGAGTCATAAATATATAAATAGGGATATAGAAGGCCCCTAGATCTTTCACCACAATAATCTCTCACCACACAAGAAGTTCCAAGAATCCCCTTAGGAGAAATCAAGAAAGAAGAAAGCTTAAAGAAAGACCCTTCATAGCCAAGGAATTAATTAAGGCTAAGAGGTAACCCATGTCTCAACAAAACCTATTTTCATAGCTATGATTCCCCTCTTAGGATTTCCCCATATTATTGTGTATTGATGATTTGTGATATTATTACTGATGATTGATGAGATGATTCCATGGGTGATCTTTGTAATGAAAGGTTCTTGATGATTATGGTGTTCTTGATGATTATGTGACGTTCTTGATGATTATATGATGTTCTTGACGATTGTAGGATGTTCTTGATGTTTATGTGATATTCTTACCGAATCTTGATATTAGAAGATGAATTGTGTCCTTGTTGATTTAAAAATTATTAGAACCCTAGGTTGTATCGTATGGAGTTATTCTTGGTATATTGGGTGGGAATTCGCATGATTGGGTGTTGATTATGTTTAGGAAAGCATGATAGGTTATGTGCCATATGTTTCTCGATCTTTGATCCGCTAATTGTCTACGTGTGTTATCAATTGCGTTTGAAAGTGTCTAAGCATGGTTTCGGGTTCCACAAAGGTTCCCGGGGCGTTTCTGGTGAAAAAGAGTCAGTGGGGGGTAGGTGGAGGTAGGGGACCCGCCACCTACCCGCGGCCTTCTTGGGCAACGCCGGCAGCGGGCAGCTGCCCGGAATAGCTGCAGCCGGCGGGTGAACCCTCACCCACCGGCTACCCGCTGGTTTGCACCCAATTTGGGATTTTGGCTTCCCCATTTGATGTTCCCCCGACCCCCGTGGTGTCCCAACGGACTCCGTCTATCGTGCCTATGTCTAGTTTGATATTTCGAGTACCGTTCATAGGTTGTATGAGTCTTATATATTGCATCCTAGTTGAATTGGTACCCCGTTGACCTAGGTGAAAGAAGTATGAACCCTTTAGGATTATTCTTAGTATGTGAAGGATCACGCATAGGTTTTGTTATACGTTTTCTCCCCCCTCCCAATGTGTTAATGTGGGCTGCATGTGCTTGCTATGTGTTATGTGTGCATGATACCCCAATCCGGTTGCGATCGGATTGGTTATTCCTGAGCTGCGGTTCAGAAGCTGGCTGCGGTCAGATTTACACTCCCGGGCTGCGGTCCACCGTTTGGTTGCGATCAAACGTTTCTAAATGAGCTGCGGTTTATATTTCCTGGCTGCGGTCAGATGACACACTCTTGGGCTGCGGTCCACTGTTTGGTTGCGATGAAACTATGATGAGCTGCGGTTCATCGGTCGGTTGCGATCGACCCCTCCGTGTTGCGATACGGGGCAGGGTGCTGCGGGGCCGTGTCAGAGCTATATGCGCTGACCCTCAGGTATGGGCATGCGATTGGTCCTGTGGCGCCAACAAAGTGTGCTATGTGATGAGATATGGATGAGTTGTTGTTATGAGTATCTTAGGGATGTGACTATGGGACTTATACTGGGAATCGTATATGTTGGGTTATGGTTATTAATTGTGCTTATCTTACCTGTCTTGCCTGTTGTAAACTATATATGTTGGTATAACTACTGTCTGTGCTTAGCCCTATCTGATGAGTCTATCTCTGTTTTAAAAGCTAGAGTTCGTAGGATATATCTTCATGTTCAAAATGGTTTTGGTATATCTATATATATATTTCTATATGTATTGTATTTCAACGCGTTGGAGTGGGTTACCAGCATCTCTCGCTGAACAGATATATTTGACTTTCAGGCACACACGAGTAGATCACTGGAGCGTGCTAGAAGCTTGGGGCATAGCTTAGATAGTTTTCCCTTTCGGCCTGTGTGCCATGATTTAGCATTGATACTGTTTGAGGTTTTAGAATTTAGCCTGTGTACCCGAGTTCTCTAGCTCGGGTGTGGCATAACACCCCGTACTCTTTGTATCGTATTTTGGGATTTAATGAGATTCTGTCTTTATTATATAAGTTTTAAAAGTCTTGAAAATCTGGGGTGTTACATATGGGTTTCTTCTTTATAATAACCTATCTTAGCTCTTTGAGTTTATAGTCGAGTTGTTTTGCCAAATAATAGCCAAATGGGGAGTTTGTTAGTGTTTTTAAATGTTCAAAAACCCCATATTATAATTGGCAATATTATTATGGCATACTAAGATAGGTTTAGAGTCTGTCCGTTTAGCTCTACAGATAACTGATCAATCAGAAGCAACAACAGAAGGACTGACACTGAAGATCTGATTTAGGAAGCTGGTTTCTTAAAAGGCTTACGCGGTATTATCAGACTCATATGGAAAGATGATCAGCGTATATTCTTAAGAAAGGTATGGACCTAATCTTCTGAGATTACATTCCTCTTTTATAGCCCTACCTTCTACAATCAAAGACATCTATGGAGAGTGGTTATTGAAGGATCTATAAGTACCCTTATTCGAAGAGAATTAGGGTTACGCCAAAAAGTAAGAAGAAACACTCCATATCTGCTATATGAGATTAGATCTTTGATTGTCATGCGTCTTCTCAATACAATATGTTCACGGTGATTAAGATGATGAACTTGAGAAGAGTTACTGCTGCTTAAATGAAAGGACACTGTGATCACACTGTTGTGGGAACAACTTTATAGAGCGTCATTGAAGTGGACTGCATCAGAGTGGGCTCTCCAAGTGAAGGGATTTCATTGGACTTCTGTATGCATGGCTCTCCATCTTCAACAATCCACTAGACCTGGGTAGACTGGGTTTGAACCTTGTGTGGGGCACTTGGGTAAGATTATTGTATATCTACCTTTGTACATTGGTTTATGATTTAGTGGATTGGACGCCTATGTGATCGTCCCCCAGACGTAGATACACACCGTATCGAACTGGGTAAACATTCTGTGTCTTTGGCTTTTGTGCGGTTATCTTTCTCTCATTCTCTCTTTATGATTTATCATTACTGATTGGCCTCTTATCTGAATCAATCAGTAATCTACATCAGTCATCTAATTCTGTAAATTTACTTAAAATGAGGAATTGCAAAATTACATATCGCAACTACGAGCATCCCCAATGTCCATATATATTGCACTGCTGCAACTAACTCAACGTAGAGATCACGGTTCTTTTTTCTTTTTTATTTTTTATTTTTTTTTATTTAATCTGTTTTTTATATGTATTAATTAATGTAAACTATATAATTATGCTTTAGGTTTGAGAATTGAGACTTTAAAACTTCTAGAACCCTAGCTAGCGCCAAGCGGCGGAACTTTTATTTTTTGTTTTTTATTTGATCTGTTAAAAAAAAACATCTCCTGCTTTTGCGAACCTTCAGAAGTCAGAACAATAATTATAATAAATTATATTTAAAATAATTATAAATATGATTAATAAATAAAATAAAATAAAAAATTGTTGAAGCTATGGTACGAAATACTGGATTCTCATCATATTGTGAATGCTCCAAGTATTCTATTTTAATTTGTCTCTTATTGTGTTATTCACAAATTATTATTATTATTATTATTATTATTATTATTATTATTATTATTATTATTATTAATATTATTATTATTATTATTATTATAATTATTATTATTATTATTATTGAGAAATCTGCATCTTTCAATATTCCCATAGTAGTTCTATCACAAAACTTTAGAATATATACATGTTATTAGTAGTTTTGTTTCTATACTCATTATAAACCACCACAAATCTATGAATTCGATAAACTTTGCATTTTTTAAATTTGTTGAGCCACTTTTCAACATACATTCAAGGAATACGCATATGTATAAAAGTTCCCTGAAATTGTAAAAAAAACCATATGCATAGACTAAAATTTCAGAAATACGGAGTACAAAATATTAAGATTAAGATTATAGTAAAAACGAAAAAAAAAATCCTCTACATCATGTGCTACACACTCTATATAGTTTATGGTTTCAGAACCTCTTATCTCTAGAAGACGAACGACACGGAGCACTCTAAACCTGATGTTATTCCACTGGAGTCTAGGATGAAGTTGACTACCAATAATCTCGCTGTGAAGTTCAATTGCCATTTAGAATCGGTGTAAATAGGAGAGTACAAATGCATAAATACGTTGGAAGCTTACAGCTTTGGATTTAGCACAATGATGGTGTAACACCCCCGGTTTTTACCACATTTTTAAAACTTAAAAGCATAGGAATACATCTAAACATCAAGACATAACGCAACGGAAACTATATAAAACCAGGGTATGTTATGCCACACCTATCTTAGATATAGGTGCACAGGCGGGAAAACTAATCAATTTAAACAAGTAATAAAGTATCTAGGCACACATGCCGCTAAAACAGGCTCACAGGCCAACAAAACAAAGCGTATACACAGGACAACTAATCTAACTAGTGATCCATGTCTAGCGCTCTCGGGCATCTACTCATAACCTGTAGAACAAGGGAAACATAACATG